AAAGTAAATTCTGCCCGGTATTTCGGTGAAAGGTCAAATGTTTTATTATTATGTAAGTAAACATTATACTACCTTCATAGACAGGACAATTTTAAGCCTTAGCTTAATGGAAGTGAAATAGTAAAATGGATAAATACCAACATTTTAAATTTTTAAACAAATAATTATTTTACCGTTTTTAAAGGATCACGGATATTTTTAGACTCCGGGACATTTCCACCTTCGGTTTAAGTTTTTTTTCAAATAATGAACTATGCCGGTATAATCAAGATAGGTATCTCGATACATGCGCAACCCGTGATCTCTTTATAACTTGCCAAATTACACTACCAGGCTAGAACACTACCTCATTGGGAGCGTCAATTTTTTTTCAATGAAAAACAGTATCACTCTATGTTATCATTTTACAAAAATAATTATAGCTGGATATCAATATCACTATCTTCAAAATAAACATTAGCGTTCATCACAATATTTATCATAATTAATTATTATATATCTGTCACAATATCATGATTATCGAGGAACGGCGTGGTCTAGTGGTAGAGCGCTGGACTGCTCGGGAGAAGGCCCCAAGTTTGGAATACTCACACGTAGCGATTGTTTTGTTTTATAAAATACGATTTCTGCCCATCTATTTAAAATTACTGAAATTGGGTAATTTTAATAAACATTGGGGGGGATGCGTTTGTGTTATTGTTTTAACTTTGTTCCATTTAAAAACTCATTGGAAAATGAAATGTTGGTTGTTGAAGAAAGATTTTCAGTCTTTTCAACATATTTTCGGGGTTTACTATATCTATAAGTTACACTCCCCCACTCCCTAATAGAAGGGATGCATGAAAGAAATTATCCTTTAGTATATCAGCCACAGAAATCGGTCAACAGCTTCTACAGCTAAACTATCAGGTCATGGCAAATAACTTCATCTTCGTGTAAAGTTTTACAAAATCTATGAACAATTTTATTTGTGTATGCAAATATACACACACTCACAAAAACTAAATAGAGAAAATGTTAATTTTAATCCCTGCTTTACAATCGGAATTCTACGTCCATGCGTTGTTGTGTTAAAGATTGCTTTGTTGAAAATGTTTGGTTAGTTGTAATAAATAATCTCTAAATCATGACACAATTAGTTGATAAAAACACATCGTCTGGTTACCTCATTAATAAGTCATGTTACTATAAATTTTTTCAATTAAAATTTACATAACATGTATTACCTCATAGCACCACTAACCAATACTAACTAATACCATGTCGGCGTGGTCGAGTCGGCAAAGCTAATGGCTGCTAAATCGCGAGTTTCAACCCTTGGGCAGATGAGGCTCAACTAGGAGAGACAACTCGAAAATCAAACAACTGCCTTGTAGTTTTTTTGGTAGGACAAACGTTATGGGACCAAATCCAAAAAAAAAAAAAAACGCAGGCTGAAATTAGAGTCAATGTCCTCATTGTCGCAAAACCAGTTGACACGTATACCTAATTGAGCTGGAGGGGATCCCCTCCAACACTAAAATTAAGAACGAAGAGTAAGAATAAGAATAAAATGTCTTAATTAAAAACTCATTAAAGGTCTTTGGTCTTTAAATTAAAAAAAGTAATTAGCATATGAGCCTGTATTTCTGAGAGTTTAATATGATACAATTTCGATCAAGACAATTGAGTATAAGAATGTTGTTTTTACATGCAAGATAGTTCATGAAATCTTTTAAAAATTGTACTTTTTATTATATTCATGGTAATTAAGTATAAAATGTAATAAAGGAAACAGTCGAAACAATTTTTATCTTAAAAAATGTTGTACATCAATAAAACATCACTCAACAGTAAACACGTTTTAGCATATAATAATAATAATAATAATAATAATAATAATAATAATAATAATAATAATAATAATAATAATAATAATAATAATAATAATAATAATAATAATAATAATAATAATAATAATAATAATTTATTTTATTTTTTTTAAAAGGAAGAAGACCTTAAAAGATTCAACTAAAAAATGCCCGCGGTCGTTTTTTTTTTTTGAGAAGTTTTTTTTGAGAAGTTTTTTCTCAAACAAAAGAGAATTATTGTTTAAGCTATTTGAAAAAGTAATTTATTATGCTTAAAAGGTAAATTGTTTTAAAAAAGAGAAATATATTCGAAACATTTGTAGTTATCGACCTTTAAATTCATAGATTTCATTAATAGTAAAAATCATCATCATCATATTTTCTCGTTTGTTCCCAAGACACATGGGCGGGTGAAGTGTAGCTTATCTGTTTTTATACCTCGGCATATGGAGGGTAATTTTGGTCAGCACTATTCACAGCCGCCTTTATTTTCCCTAAGTGGTTGAAGGAAATGGGGGACGCTCTATTAACATAAACTCGGATTCGAGTTCGAGACTTGCTGCTCAACAGTCTTTAGCTCTATCAATATACGTCGTTATGTTGTCGAAATAAAAACTTAACTGGAGTTAAAGCTTCAACATAATGTGTTTTATAAATGATTTTAGTGAGACTAAACTGCTTGTTTGACTCGACTCGAGTAATTATTTAATTAATTTGCATAGTGGGTTATTAAATTTTAACCACTGGTGTTTAATTGTCTACCAACATATAATTAATTATATAAAATTATGTACCATATATCTGCCCTGCTTGTGTAGTTTCGTATTATGTTGCCTTGAGCTGGAGGGGATCCCCTCCAACACTAAAATTAAGAACGAAGAGTAAGAATAAGAATAAAATGTCTTAATTAAAAACTCATTAAAGGTCTTTGGTCTTTAAATTAAAAAAAGTAATTAGCATATGAGCCTGTATTTCTGAGAGTTTAATATGATACAATTTCGATCAAGACAATTGAGTATAAGAATGTTGTTTTTACATGCAAGATAGTTCATGAAATCTTTTAAAAATTGTACTTTTTATTATATTCATGGTAATTAAGTATAAAATGTAATAAAGGAAACAGTCGAAACAATTTTTATCTTAAAAAATGTTGTACATCAATAAAACATCACTCAACAGTAAACACGTTTTAGCATATAATAATAATAATAATAATAATAATAATAATAATAATAATAATAATAATAATAATAATAATAATAATAATAATAATAATAATAATAATAATAATAATAATAATAATGATAATAATAATAATAATAATAATAATAATAATAATAATGGGATAATTATTATAAATCATTCTAATGTGCATTTAAGGAATAAAATGAACAATAATAAACACGGAAGTAGTACCTTTAAGTAAGATGAGTTTTGTTCATGCAGTATAATTGTAATCAAAACAAAATTTAAAAAGACAGAAAGATCAAATATTGGAAAAAAAAAGTATCTAAAACATGTTTTAAAAAATATTGTATGTAATTATAAAATAAAAAGAATAAAATAAAGATTTGTTTACATTATGTAATAATGCACCTGTATTTAAATAAATAAATATAGTAGCTTGTGTAGCAAACATTGATTGCAGGTTTTTGCCCATTATTAATATGTAATACGCGTCCCAAGCTTTTGTTTTAGTTATTTAAAATAAACTTCAAAATGTGTAATAAAATTTAAAACAAAAATTAATTCAATATATAATGCATAAATATATAGAAAATTAAAATTATACTATTTAGATTTAATTACAACAACATGTATTGATAGAAAGCTAATTTTACTATTGCAAAATATCATTTAACTTCATTATAAAAATAAAAATATAATTGCCCAAAAATAAAACAATCAGCAATTTAAATTATATTATTAACATAAAGTAAAGTCATAATGTTCTATTTTAAATATAGGTTTACCAATACAGTTTAAGATAAGTCAATGGCATTACATCTAAATATAAATATGACCGTCTGTGTGCCTGACTCCTGCCTTCCTTGCTGTCAGACAGTCAGTCAGTCTGTCTTTCTGTTTTTCTGGCTTTGTGTCTGTCTCTCGGTCCATCTATACATATATATATATATATATATATATATATATATATATGGACAGAAAAATTAATCTTATTACTAAATTGTTAGTAAATAACCCTAAAATTAGATTTGAAAGTAAATAAATAATAACGCCTTATATTTTAGATAATGTAAAGAGCACATTCTTTTGGAATAATAATTATATGATTTGCAATCTATATTTAGCAGGCAGTAGGGATAGATATTCTTATATTGAATCATTTTTAATTATTTTTCATCAACTATTTTCAAATATCAAAATTTTATCGATAAAAATGTTTACCACATATCTGCTCTGCTTGTGTAGTTTCGTATTACGTTGCCTTCTGGATAAATCACTTCTGGTGCCATGTATCGCACTGTCCCAATTTCAGTAGCGACCCCATTGGCATCAATAAACTCAGATAGACCAAAGTCTGTAATCTTTAGGTACTATCATATTTTAGTGACATTTTATGTATGCTTCCAATAACATTCAATATATATAAATGTCAATATGTCTCTCTCTTTCTCTCTCTCTCTCTCTCTCTCTTTCTCTCTCTCTCTCTCTCTCTCTCTCTCTCTCTCTCTCTCTCTCTCTCTTACTCATTCTCTTTCTTTTCAGCAGTAGAACATATGCTTAAAATTTGAAATTAATTACCACAATTTTAAGTTATGAAACGTTTACAGTTTACTTTGAACATTAAATTAAAGCTAATAAGAATAAAATGTCTCAAATCACCACTAAATATTATACGGTACATTTAATATTCTTGTCTGTTTGGACTTTGTAGTGAAAGCAATGTGGATAAGGAATTTATTATTACTATGTAAAATTAGACTTACAATATTTACATACAATTATAGATTGATTTTCGCATCGTAAATGATCCGAGTACAAAAACAAATGTAGGTCTTGATACAAATATTCTTTAACATAGTTTTTCTATCAAAGCTAATACAAATTAATTGAATAAATTTGTGAAAAAGGTTGCATATGTATGTAGTTTGAGATTAACTTTTAAAAAAACAACATTATTTAATCTCAACAATTCTCCAGCCCGTCAGTCCCTTTAATAAACAGATCGTTTTTTAACAACCAATCAGCAGTTGGCCTTAACTTAGATTCCCGCTGTAAAATCCTTTCTAAAAACTCTTTCAAGTAAACAGATGACGCTTCAGGTAGTTGATATTTAAGAGGGTTCCCCAGGTAGGTCTGGAAAACAATCTGCTGTGTTGGAACTGACGAGTTTGGTTGTTTCCCGTTAATCATCTCTAAAACTGTGCAGCCGACACTCCTGTAGAATGAGAATTTAAAAAAAAAAGATCAGTTTACTAAAAGCATTATCTGCAAATTGATTGTGTGTGACCATATGAGACGGTAACATTTATAAAAGATTCCAGGCAATGTGTGCCAAAAAAGCTGTAAGCACAGAATAACACACAATAACAAACAATAGAATTTTTGTTACATATATATATATATATATATATATATATATATATATATATATATAGGCTAAACCTTAACACTCTATGGTATAATTTCTTTGAACCACGATGAACTAAACAATACAGCTTAAATTCAAATGAAATTTTTATCTTAATTATTAATATGAAACATGTTAAATATATATATTGCTAACGTATAGCCTAGATTTAATCTAAACAGATAAATCCAAATGAAAGTTAAAAGAAGACGAAGACTAAAACCTAAGTGATACATTTAGAATAATCATCGTTATATTTTAAATCTTTAATGCTTGGTTACATCCTCATCTGTAATTTTTAAAAATATTGATTCAACTGCTATATTAAAATAGCTATTCAAAATCAATTAAATCGAGTTCCATGTATGAAATACAGATTCATTAATAGACTATCTATAGACTACGTTATAGTTTAGAACATAACCTTAATTAAAAAATATAAAGTACGTTGAATGCATACATTTTATTTTTTTTAAAAGGAAGAAGACCTTAAAAGATTCAACTAACAAAATGCCCGCGGTCGTTTTTTTTTTTGAGAAGTTTTTTTTGAGAAGTTTTTTCTCAAACAAAAGAGAATTATTGTTTAAGCTATTTGAAAAAGTAATTTATTATGCTTAAAAGGTAAATTGTTTTAAAAAAGAGAAATATATTCGAAACATTTGTAGTTATCGACCTTTAAATTCATAGATTTCATTAATAGTAAAAATCATCATCATCATATTTTCTCGTTTGTTCCCAAGACACATGGGCGGGTGAAGTGTAGCTTATCTGTTTTTATACCTCGGCATATGGAGGGTAATTTTGGTCAGCACTATTCACAGCCGCCTTTATTTTCCCTAAGTGGTTGAAGGAAATGGGGGACGCTCTATTAACATAAACTCGGATTCGAGTTCGAGACTTGCTGCTCAACAGTCTTTAGCTCTATCAATCGAATACGTCGTTATGTTGTCGAAATAAAAACTTAACTGGAGTTAAAGCTTCAACATAATGTGTTTTATAAATGATTTTAGTGAGACTAAACTGCTTGTTTGACTCGACTCGAGTAATTATTTAATTAATTTGCATAGTGGGTTATTAAATTTTAACCACTGGTGTTTAATTGTCTACCAACATATAATTAATTATATAAAATTATGTACCATATATCTGCCCTGCTTGTGTAGTTTCGTATTATGTTGCCTTCTGTATAAATCACTTCTGGTGCCATGTATCGTACTGTGCCAATTTCAGTAGCGACCCCATTGACATCTACAAACTCAGATAGACCAAAGTCTGTAATCTTTAGGTTCCAGTCATCTTCCATAAGGACGTTATTGCCTAGAAAAAATGTTTGTATTTCACACGATAACAAAAATCGATGTAAGTTTCCATTACAAATGGGCCAAAATTTAATTTTATATGATTTCGGCAAGGATTTTAGATATCGAATTTTATTGAAACATGGCAATTGAAAAATAGAATATTTACTATACTTGTTTTGAAAATTTAAATAATTGTAGCAAAAGCCTTCCTTTTTACTCTCCTTTCTACAGAGAATAGAGAAAGAGTAATAATTATGCTGATATTTGGATAGATTCCGAATACGAAGTATTAAGGATGTTTTGTAAAACCTTGACGTTTTACATCCTACCGGATCCGGAAATACTTCGTTGTTGTCCGTGTGTCAGAATACAGGAAACCATTAAGTACCGTTTCATTTATGTTGAAGACGTTTCATATATAAATTTTATTTGAATGTTATGGTGTTTTGTCAGCTTTTGGGCAACTTCCATTCACCAAAAGTGATACTTACCTTATTTTAGGTTACTCCAAACCAATATATAGAGCAGCATGTAAGTTAAGTAGATGACATTTCACATATAACTATTAAATTGTAATGCTCTTGTTTCTATCAAGTTTTAAATTATTTCCGTTAAACGGATTTGATACTGTACATTATTGCACGGGAATTCAAAAAAGTATGTACTTTTTAATTAGGTAGTCAGCTATACAAATACATATAAGATCTTGTTCTTAAATTGTGATCAATTAGTGGTTGACCTCCGACAAACTAAAGTTTCTAAAATACCACTCAGATACATATTGTTTCAGTTAGGTGGACGTGTGAAGAGGGTAGCCTTTAATATACTAATGCAGAATTTGAATACTTAATTGTCTTATCAAACTTTTCATCCAAATTACCTATCTCTCTCTCTCTCTCTATGATATGCAACAAACCTTTGATATCCCTATGCAGAATATTATTCTGATGCAGGTACTCTATACCTTCCAGAATTTGAGTAGTAAAGTGTCGTGTCAACTTTTCATCCAAACTACCTCGCTTTGATATAAATTCTGCTAGTGTGCCCTAAAACACGTCAAAAATATATTATTCGTATCTGAAAGAAGTGACAACATTTTATACTATAGATTACAAAATGCATTAAAGTATTAAAATTAAATAATTTCATGTAGTTTTGCTTACATTTTTCAGATATTCTAAAAATATAAAAAACTCATCCTCTGTTTTCTTAAATCCGTGAAATTGAACTATTCGTCTGTGCTTTACTTTAAGTAAAATCGTTGCCTCTTTTTTACACATATCCTGAGAGTATTTTTATAAATATATATATATATATATATATATATATATATATATATATATATATATATATATATATATATATATATATATGTTTGATTGATTTAGATCTAAGTACGTGCCCCGTCAAATACGACCCAAGATAGATAATGCATGCATTTTTACATTTAAATAACTCAGTTTTAGAAAACTATTTTCCTACAGACTTTGCAGTTATATAATCAAGAGTTCATAAACCATGTAACATACAAGTAAACTATCCATTTTTTCAAGTGACGTCAGACACGATTTCTTAGCAACAAATTTCTTCTCATTGGGTCTAGCTTCATCAGTTACAAGATGGACGCTACCAAACGAGCCTGCACCTATTGCTGATTCATTAATTGTGAAGTTTTTCGGGAATTCTTCAGATAGGACAATATCTGAGAAAGAAAATATCCTTAATTTATAAAAAACACATAACATACTTAGCATGTTTTCTCTTTTGTTATAATAAAAAGCAAAAGTGGTTGGCTTATGGTGCAGGGTTAATTTGTCAATTCTTTTTTCAAAAAAAAAGAAATGAACAGATGGGGAACAAAACGTAAACATGTAGTGCACTTCACGTATTTTTCTCCATACTTTCATAAAGCGTCATCAATATACACATTCATTAAAAATTTCAGAATCTTACCTCTTTTAGTAGGCAAAGTTCCAGTACTTTGGCCGGATCTCCAAAATATTGAGTACGCATTGTCTGAAATAGTTTTGTCTTCACTGACAGTTAAGTGCCCTAACATATCATTGAATGTTTCGTCAAATAAAATTGTTTGGCTGGCCTGCATGCTCCTACATAACTCCTTTAAACACGCCGTCAAATTTCTCTGTTCCGAATTATTTTGAATAGCGAGAATTTCTTTAAATCTTGGAAGCAATGGGAGTATCTATAAGATCGTTGTATTATAAGTACATGCGAGTAAACATATATAATTTAAAAAAAAATGCATACATATCAAACAAAATATGATCCTTCCTCTATACTTACACACATTTTCACAAGCTAGTGTTCAAATAGAAACATAATTATTAGTTAGTCTCAAGTAAAAAAAGACATATCAATTTGATATAATATGTTAATTAATAAGCGATTTTGGTTGTAAAAACAAAGCGGTCGATTACACATCACCAGAGTTACACGGTAATGAGGAGCTAATAATGCATCGGCCCAAATTAAAACTAAAGATCATTAATGTAAAATTTAAACTATGAAATGGTAAAATAATAATGGTAAATAACAATACGTCGTGAAATTCATCTTCTCCTTCTGCCAATTTAGCAAGACATTTCATAAGACCGTTAAGTCCAATTCCCAAATATGCTCTTCTTGGATTGTTGGTAGCTAAAGTAATGCCTTCAATTATTGCTTGTTTTAGTTCAGCTGTACAGACCATAAAAATATATAGATTTAAAAATTGGAGATTCAAAACATATGCTATGAACAAACTCTGTAAACTAAAGTACAAACCACAAATTATCAGCGATTAAAACAATTCTTTAAAAGTGTTTTTTTATATGTTATAATTTTTGTATATGCAAAAGCGGCACGAAAAAATTATATTGACATTTTCCATTATTTCGCATTCCACTCTTGGCATGGTAAGGGTTAGAGCACTAGGTGTGGTGACAGAAAAAAAAAGCATGTGATTTAAGAAAAATAACATTACTTTTTGCTGAGTAGGTGAAGCATGTGTCATATTTTGTTTAAAATCAAGGTAAATGCTTTCTTAAAAATAATTGTATTTGTTAAAACTGAAAAAAATCTAAACAACCGCACGAACCTATGCAGAGTTAATTTTAATATCAGCATAAAAAAATATGTGTAGGCCTATACCTTTCTTCTCATTAGTCAAATTTTCTCCAATCAAGGAAAGTAAAACTTTTATATACATCGAGACTCTTTTATTGCTAGATTTCAATTTGAGGATTACCTTGTAAGAAAAATAGAAAATAATTTGTACGTAAATGTTACATTCAGGATTACATTTCATGTATACAGTGCTATATAAAAATGACTATCAACACCAAATAAGACGATATTAAAATACTTTGAGCTAACTAAGAAAGTATAAATGCGTCTGTGTTCAATTTTCAATTTCAAAAGATATAATATTATTTTTTAAGTAGCATAATAATAATGCTTGGTTTAAAGATAGTAGAGAGCACAGTTTAAATTAGCCATAATCATAAT